TATAATTGTAGTGATTACAACTACACTCCATTGCAAAGGGTTCAACTGCGTACGTGACTTGAAAAACCTTATCCATGCCAGACACCTTGACCTTGTACAAACGCTCAATTTCCGATCGCTCTGTCTCCAACCTTATGCAACATGCCGACTTTTCAACCTCGTCTCTGAATAAGAAGAATGTGTTCTTTGTGAAAACCGCCGCTCCACTCTTCTGAAGTGAGACTAAGACATTGCTTGTGATGGTTCGTTCTCGATGAATGGATTCAAAATCAGCATGACGCTCATTCTCCCTCATATCCCTAGTCCAACGATCAAAGTGAATAAAGAACTCAAGGAGATTTTTATCCTTCTCGATATAATTGGCAAGTTGAGAGTTCAGTCCTTCACATCTTGATGTTGTACTCAAGCCTGCGAAGAACTTCGAACGCAAATATGCATACCCCCATTCATGTCTTTGATCAAATAAATTGGAGACCCAATTGTTGTGCTAAAGGGAGCATTCCTCAACCACTGATTTCCATTTTTCTTCGAATTCTGAAGGTTCCCAATCAGCTGACACAAAATGCTTCCATCGGGGCAAAAAAGTAGGATGATTCTTCACATTTCTGGTTATAGTCTTGTCTATATGCCAGGAACATAGACGATGTGTTGCATCGGGAAATACTTTCTGAATAGCATTACGCATTGCTCTATCCCCATCTGTAATAACAGTCTTGGGATCTACACCGCCTAGCCTTCTCTTCAAAGCTCCCAACACCAAAACATAATTTTCCTCTCTCTCGTTAGCCAAGAAAGCACATGCAAATACGCAAGTTTGCGAATGGTGGTTGACACCTAAAAAAGTTCAAACAAAGTTAGATTATGCAAACTTCTAGGGTTATTTTAGCATGCTCGGGAAAATTCTATGTGTGAAGGAAAAGTACCTGAAAAAATCACGAGAGGCATCCGGTAAATGTTCCTTTTATAAGTAGCATCGAACAGTAATTCTCCAAAGCATGCATAATCAGCAATAGAAATACTATCGGCCCAGAAAATGTTAATAAGCCGGTCGTCGTCATCCTTCTTTAGTTCAATAACGAAATGCTCGTCCGCGCTGCATTTAGCTTGCAGGTAGGCTAGGGCTGTTGCGGCATCACCTTCACTGATTTGTTCTTTCCTCTCTTTGTCCACATAATTATATGCATCCTTCCTCGTGTACCCCAAATTGTCGTAGCCTATCGCTGCTTTGACTGCATCACTCATACGACGTTTCCCTTTCATGTAGTGTCTATATTCTCTGGGGATCGTTTCATGTGTGTGTACATCATCAAACTGGTGCACATACCACTTCCCATCGACATTGTCTTGTTTAACACGCATCTTGGCTCTGCAGTTAAATCTGGTATCCCCTCTTGCTTCTCTCTTTCGTTCTGTGCTCTTCACGCGCCTCTTTCCCTCGCCAGAGCATACATAGTCACGCCATATCATAACTTTGTTCTTATCACGACCAATGTCTGATTTTCTGATGTCGAAGCCTTTGACTAACCCGTAGTCCATGTAGAAATCATAGGCTTCTTCCGTATCATCGAACTTCATTTTTTTAATATCTTCAGGCTGTAGAAATATGAGATCGGCGACATTATCATCCTGGGTGGTGTCACTGGCTCCGGCACCAGCGTTTTCTTGGACTTCCTCCGACGTCAATACTAGGACTTCCTCCGACGTCATTGTCACTGGTGAGTCTGCCGCCGACGTCATTGTCACTGCTGGAAATTTTGGGGAACCAAGGACGTAGATTACAAAACCCTACTGGGAATGATGGCCGAATTAATGCTTCAATGGGCCACTTAATAATTATCCCCATTAATAACACGATTTGTGATATCTTATATTTTTGGTAGGAACGAGTTGAACTTTCTGTTCTTTATCTTAGTGATTTCTTTACCATTTTCACAAATAACGAAAATATTTAAAATGAAAAACCTTTCTTAGTAAAGCCAAACGCCAGCTCACTCTAGCTGTGTACTACTACGTGTATGGGGAAGGATCAAATATTAATATGAGCGAATATTTACTAATAGCACTCAATTCTTTATTCAATCGAAAAAAGTATCTTTTTAATTTTAGGTTTAATAACTACCCATGTTTATCCCAAGTTCATGTACCTTAGACTAAACCCTAACTATTTTTCCGCGGGAAAAATATGGAGCCACAATTTATCCTAACCTTGTATATATAATTAACCTTCATCGGTAGAGCAGTGGTTCCATATCCTTCTTTGCCGCGATTTTGAGTACAGAGTAAAGCTTAGATTAGATGCACAACATGGAAAATAGGAGACTTACTCGCTCTTCGTCCAAGCTTGTGGTATGTATAATAACTCTTTTTACCATTGAAATTCATTCTAGTTAATTTATTAATCGCAGGTTCACTGTCATTGTAGGAGACAGCCGAATTTGTGACTCCAACAAAGAAACCAAGGATACCCAAAGGTGTAAGCACTCCACCCACTCCTGCTTCAGTCATCGTTTTTATTTCGGACGATGAATCTGACTCTGAGGTCACACCAAAGAAGCCAAATGGAAAAAGTATTTGTCTACCTTCTGTTGACACGGTAATAAAGGTGTCATGTTTGCCATTGAAGTGTTCTTTGCCGTTATTCCGTCATAACGAATGCATTTCAACTCGTGTTTATTTGTGGCCCCCTATTCCAGGTTGTTTTGAAGTTTAAGCTACCTACCGCTATGGAATACGATGATGAGCAAATCCAGCTTGCTCACTATATATTTTTAGCCCATCTGCCACCTGACGAAGTATTGGTCAAAACCTCTAACAACTCTTGTACGAGGAAGTCATTGTGGTCCTTAAGCCCTCGCTCATTCGTAGATGCTGAAGTAATCAACGGAACTCCAAAATTTTGTTTTGTTTGTCCACTATCAATGCTTTCTACGTAGAATTATTTTATAACAACTCGATAGTATCATGAAGTGTTTTTTGTCCATGTTATATTAGGTTATAACAGCGATGGCCTGCCACTTGACTCTAGAAGAGTTGTGGACAAATTCCAAGGACGGAAAAGGAGTGTGCTATCTGCCTGCTGAACTACAGGTTGTGGTCCGATTATACTTAATGACAATTTCCTCTCACCAAAAAAATTACAACACATGTTTTTTTAACGTGAATCATATTGTGTTGACAAAATTTCAATTGTGCAACTACCACATGGGCAGGAACTAGTGATTTCATGTGGAATAATACCCAAGATGGCATTAGACCTATACCAATCAAAATTCCTTAGTCGAACCAATATGGTGAACAAGGTAAACTGTTCGTCTTAATAAGTATTACATGGTTTGCAGTTTATTTTTTTAATACGTGTTGACAATTTCCGCATATGTAGGTGTGTGTTCCGATGAGAGATAATGCCCATTGGTACTTGGCTGTCATTAAGTTGGACAAGGAAGAAGTCCATATATTGGATCCACAACCAAATGAAGAACGCAATTCCTTTCGACTACAATCTGTTCAAACAATGGTAAATTTGTGACATTGTGCCGTTATAACGCAAAAAAATGTAAATAACTCTTTCTAAGTACAAACGTTTCTTAATTTGTACAGATGAGCTTTATGCAAGCCTTGTGGAAGATTCTCTATCGTGAACAAGGATTGTCGCCACCAAGGATTGCGGAGTTTGCGTACCCAACTCCTTCAAAGGATCAAGAACAACTTAATCGGTAAGTATGCCCATTTTTTTGTGATATTAAACGACGACTTATCAACTTGGTTCTTATCACGCAATGCTTTTATTTTATGTAGGTCTGACAGTGGAGTCTGGGTATGCATGTGGATGTTTGGCGCAAGCTGGGACTCCTCTTATATTTGGGTAAAGACAATTCTAATTCGCATATTAGAAAACCACAATTGATTGTTATTTTTGAATCATGCGGTAAGCACCATGTTTGTTGATGTTGATAGCCATGCACTCAAGTGAGGAGGATGCAGATCGCTTTGTACCTTGTTCGAGAGCCCATGAACTACATAAGGCATATGGTGCTCACGGAAGCAAGAAGAGTTGCACCTCAAGTTGAAGCTGCAGTGGAAGAGTACAAGAAAACCCATGAAAAGAGGAAAAAGGAAAGAGAAGAGCACAAGGAAACCCAGTCAACGAGCCCAAGAACAACCTGATTTTGCGTTTTAGTTTTCAAGATGATGGACAACAGTTATGTTTTTTTTTTCTCAAGATGATGGACAACCGTTTTTTATTTGGTTCGGTGAATGCTTATTATTTTTGGTTTTTATATTTGGTTTTTGGTTTGGTGAATGCTTTTTATATTTGGTTTGGTGAATGGTTTTAATATTTGGTTTTTGGTTTGGTTTTTGGTTTGGTGAATGCTTTGTATATTTGGTTTTTGGTATTGTGAATGCTTGCTATATTTGGTTTTTGGTATTGTGAATGCTTTCTATATTTGGTTTGGTTTGGTTTGTTTTTTCGTGGAAATGGCAAAGGGACTTCACCAAAATTCCAGCTTCCAACTTGTGAGTGAGGTTGCTTCTGTTCAAGGCTTCAAGCCATTGTATCTTGTAGAGAAGTTTAATTGGGATCATGTATAGTTAAACTGATTGGCTCCCAATCAGTATAAATAATGACCAAACCCAGTACAAGGCAGATAGAAAATTCTTATGTAATTAATTTAATGTTCCTAGGATATGGAAAGGCTTCCATGTAAAGGATTGAAAGTAGTGATTTACATTGATGAGGAGAGTGGCTTAAGTACCAACTCTTGAACAGATTGAAGCTACAAAGTAGGAGCCACTAACCCACTAACTAAAACTTATGACGTTACTAACTAATAATAATAAAATTAATTATTTACAGAAATTGAATTTATGCACAGCCCTTATCATTCCATTCCTTGAATTTCCACCAACGATGTTTTCACTCCCCTTTTAGTCAGAGAATTCATTGTAGTAATAAATACAATAAAAAGGCATACATAATAAATGGATTCTTTATTGTGTATAATTAAAAGGATATTTTACTATAAACGAAGCATGATAGATCCACAGGGGGATAAAAGAAGCATGAGTCTTGATGAAAAAGGAGAAAAAAATCACCATAGATAAAAAATCATTATAATCAACCTAATTGGAACTGCTTAGAACAAAAGCGGATTAAAATCTCCCCCAATGAAATTCATTTGCAATTTCATAGGTAGTCCCTACTTCCACTTCTATAATTTTGAGAAAACATTGCAATTTCATCAATAGTCCCCACTCGTGGGCCAATTTCAATTGCAACCAAATTTGCACCCTTGCAATAGCTTCTCACATCATAGCAAGTGTAGGATGCAATTGCACCTGCTTAGGGATGACCATTACTGCATCTCGTCACCTGTCTTAGGGAAATTAGCCATGGCAAATTCACAAAATACTGCATGCATAGAAAAATATTTGTCTGGATAATTAAAAAAATGGGAGACTTTCCTAATCAGATGATGTACTGGCTCCCCTCAGTACCTGACAGTTTTGAGTGATGGAGAAAAAGACTGGAAAAAAAAACAACGAAGCCTTACAGTAAACTTCTTAACAAAACACATCCAATGCTGGCCCCTTCACTGCTCCACCCCGCCCTGCATCAATCGACTCTCATGTAAGCCGAGGACGTTTGCTTGAGGATGCCTCAGGGGTCTCTTCATGCTCCGTATGCCGAAGGTCATAAAAAGTATTGGTCACTTCGACGATACGGTAGACTGGCAAATAGGCGGAATGGTCCTCCCTAGCATAAACCCCCATATCCATCCCAACCCTTCCAAGAAAGGTGGTCAAGAAGGTGGCATATGGAAAGGCAGTGTACCAGTTTTCCCCTCTAGGAGCAGCCTCAACCATGTTCACGCACATGAGAGATGCGAGGTTAAGAGGAACACCTCTTTGAGCTTGCACAAGGATAAACAGGTCAAGTTTACGAATTATCGAATGACCACTGTACCTTGGCATGAAGCAGTTGATGATCATCCAATGGAGGAATCGAAGAGGATCTGGGAGGAAAGAAGCCTGGATGCGCCCATTCGTCAGTCTCGCCAGTTCAACTTCGAACTCAAAATCGTACAGCCGAAGATCGCTTCTGCTATCAATGTGGTGTCCTGCGGCGGGGAGATCGAGGATCTCAGCAAACTGATGAGGCTGGAAGCAGGCTCTATAACCCAGGAAGACCGACACGAGATGAGAATCGGAGGGACCAGACAGCTCTAAATTGTGGTAGAACTTCCTCACCACATGCGGGCAGTAACTGGTGCTTCCTCGACTCCGGAGATCAAAGAACTTTTCCCAGCCAAGATTTTTAATTAACTGCTTCACTTCTTGAGGGAAAGGGGACAGGTGGATGAACTCATACTCGGCCACAATAGATGTCTTGCTCGTGAATGAAAGATAGTCCGCGAGACTTAGGGTGGATCGGCAGTCGTCGTTTGATAGAGTTAGTATGCCCATATCCGCAAACGATTTGCCTTTGTTTGCCATGGAGTCAGAGGAAGAAGGAACAAGGGAAGGTGAAGATGGAGGAAAGAGAGATTGTAGGTGTAAGAAAAAGTGATCGTGGGGGTTGAGTGTGGAGACGTGTGATGGAGACGGTTGAGTCTGGAATGTCAAGAGTTAGAAGATTTGGGAAGATATGTAGTAATGATGATGTTAACTCGTGTAGGTTAAACTAGGGTAGCTAAAGCTAGTTAAACTAGGGTTGGCGCTGATACCGCAGGAGAAAACTAATGGGCTCGCACGTTCCAGGCCCACTTTTGAATATTGCATGGGTCATGTACAAGCCCACGTTTGAATGTTATTTAAAAGCCTGCAAAAATCAATGATCAGACCCAGTCCAACTAGAATTAGTCCTAAACGCACCGTTAATACATAAACACAAACTAAGGAGACCTCTCCATCCGATTCGAATCAAATTATGTGTTCTTCATCTTCTTCCTCAATCCTCTGGGCGAGACGAACACTACATATCAGGAAACCTAAATTCACCGAGAGATATAAGGCTCGAGAAAATCACAATAACGCTAAGACAAGATGACAAAGCACTAGGGACATGAACCCTAGGGTTAGCAAACCTCTTTCAAGGGTTCTTTTGCAAATGAAAAGTTCGATGAACACAATAATAGACATGGTCGCCGTAATCGTGTTAGAAAGAGATAGGCGAGGGGATATACAATGGCGAAGAAGAAACAAGACAAAATTTTTTTGGGAAATTCAATCTACGTCGAATGTGGATGGGGAGCTTCTCTTGGAACTGTGAAGGGGCGTCCCTCCAAGACGAGAGAGGGATCGTGTAATTGGTTAGGGAGACTGGAAATTGGTTTGGGCGGCAGTGGGTCTACCCAATTGGGTTTGGGTCTTAATCCATTTAATTTAATCGGGGCAGTTAGTTGGACTAGGATGAAAACAAACTTAACGCGGAGGAGGCTTTTTGTAATTTGTTTAGTTATTTAGTGGCGCAGTTAGGTTTAACAAACGTGAGTCGTGGAGATTGAAAACGAACGGTTAAGATCGGCCAAGGTACCCGTACCCGGCTTTTTCCCTGGGCACCGTAGAAGTCACCATATATATATATGGTAGCGTCTTCAGTGCACTCACTTTTTTGAGTGCATTCAGTGCACTCGCTTCATAACCGTCATTTTAAACATGCGATTCATGTCAAAATGATGGCAATCATCACTTAAGATGTGATGAACAACAAAGCACATGAATTTGCACAAAAACCATTCAAGATTTACTTTAATTTGAAGGATTTAGAGTTTATAGATTTATGGTTAGAGTTAGGGTTTACAATTTGGGGTTTAGTGATAGAATTCAAAATTGGAGGTCTAGGGCGTAGGGTAGTCCGTTAATTAGTTGTTATCATATGTTATATAATCATATTACACTAATTCTACAAATTAAAATTCAAAATCCGACACCTTAAGACTAGTTTTTGAGTTGGGTGCATTGAGCGCACTCATTTTTGTGAGTAGACCGAAGTAGTCAACATATATATATATATATATATATATATATATATATATACATATATGGTGCCTTCTACGGTACCCCGGGTGAAATCCGGGGTACCGCATACTTTGAGTATGAAAACGCTATCTAGACCTCGAATTAGCAGGATTTTTGGGCATGATAGTATACCCTAACCCTTAATGAGTGAACCCTAGTTCCTAATTATCTAAATCATAAACTATAAACCCTAAGATGGTGCATTGATTTTTTTTCCTATATTTGGACGAATCATAACCGTCGATTATTGCTTCTAATTAAATTGATCTTGGGGTATAAGATTTAGAGAATTAAGACCTAGATTTTGATCTTTAAGGATTAGAGTATAGTATCATGTCCGAAAGATCAGTCAATTCAAGTTCTGAATAGCGCTTTCTTACTCAAGGTATGCGGTACCCCGGATTTCACCCAGGGTACCGTAGAACTCCCCATATATATATATATGAGAATTTGTGAGGTGCTTGTTCATTGCGTGTTTTCTATTCTATATAATTATCTTATGCCGGAGGAGCTTCACTCTTATGCTGGAGGAGCTTCATTTTTCCTTAGAGAGTGGAGGAGCTATATTGCTATTGTTGTTATGCAAATACTTAAAAGTAGGTATAATTTTCATACAATTGTGTCATTTTCAACGTCCATAAATCTTTTTTTTATCTTGCTTTTGAGAGTTCTTCTTCAAGAAGTGTTAAAAGAGGGTGTTCTTTCTTATTGTCTAAGTCCATAATTTTCGTAGACATTTGGTTGCTCATGAGTGATAGGATGTTGCATTATTACAAAACAATTCATATTGTAGACTGTTGGTCGGAAGCAGTCTACCGCTTTCAAAGAACGAGTGTATGTTAAAGGTAAGTGTCTCATCTGGTCTATTGTTTGTCGAAAGTGATCGACCTCTTGCTTGAAGTGGTAGGCCGATTGTCTAAAGTGATATACCGATTGCTAGAAGCGATTGACCGTTTTCTCCAAATCATAATGACTTGTAAGTCACCATGGCATACCCAAAAATATTAGGGTTATATGTATAATATGCCCCTTTACTTTGCATCTTTCTCAAACATGCCCCTCTACTATGAATCACATCAAATTTACCCTCATACAATAAAACGCTTCTCAAACACACCCTTCCGTCCGTTTTGCCGTCTATAACTTTTAAATTTGGTTCAACCAAATTCTGGTCAACACAATATATGGTAAAATACAAGTCTAACCTCATCGTCCCCAAATATCAACAACCCGAGACCCTGACTTCCAGTGTTCTCTACTCTTGTGTAATCGATTGTCTATCAGGTTGCACCGTTATATTTTCCATCCCTAAACTTGACGGTGAGTATCAAATTAAACTTTTCCACCTTAATTTACACCATACCATTTTTCTTTCACTTTTCTCCTCCCACAAAAATAATTTTTTTATAACAAATGAGGATTGAATAAACCCAATCACAAAAGTCCTTTGAAATTCTTCTCTTGCCCTGTGGTCGTGGATCCTCTCGCAAAATTATTTATAGAGTCGGAGATGGGGGCTTCGGCTACGAACTTTGGTCGAAAAACTGAGTTTGTCTGGAAGTCTTTCTTTAGTTGAACACCAGCAACAAAGCTATGATAAAACTTCTGCTGGAATTTCCTCATTACTTTACTCTCTTTGTCTCTCAATTTACTGCTTAAGACTTGTTTCTTAATTCTTCTTCACCCATCTAGTTCAAATCATCCCCTTTATTTAATCTCACTATGCTTATCAATTTTTGCTCTGGTCGTCACCTAAGTTCAGGTGTATAGAACTCAATTAAAGGAAGACTCTTTACGTTGGAACTTCTTTCAGCTCAAATATTCATTACACCACTTATTCAACAATAGCATATGCATATTCATTAATAATAGATGAGTTTAAACAATTTATAAAAGAGGCAAAAATTTCTCTGAAAGAAACACCTGTACCGAGGTGCCAATTATGCAAAATATATCTTAAATGAATAAGAAGAATAATGATTGCATTTCACATTCCACATAAGTTTAAAAGGTTTACTTGATCGGAAGGAAGCCAAAAGTTTAATTCAGTTAGACCTAAAAAGTTAAATAAAAAATGAAACAATTGTAAATTTTGAAGCAAAAATAAAGGAGACCATAAGATAATTAAATAGAGCGCTAGTAATACCCAAATGAAGATGTAAGAATATGAAGGAAAACGAAATTGCGTAAATAGAGGTGGATAATTTTAATTTGATAACTGTCGTTAAGTTTAAGAATGTAAAATATAACGATGCAACCGAAAGTCAACTTGCATGGTTTAGTTACAACTAAATGAATTTAAGTGCTTAGTATGCAACGAAACCAATACTTATATGGTATCTGGTACAATTAACCCTTGTACTAGTGTATGTATTTTTTCTCTTGGCTTGCTTATTTGTCCACCTAGTGAAATACTTTTCAAAAATAAAATCAAATGAAAAATCAAATCTTTTGTTTGAAAAAAGTTTGTGCATATTATCTAGATTGTTTTGATCTTGGTTAAAATATATTTAACAAACTCAAGAAAGTGGACAATTTGAGTTTACATAATACGACCCTGGGGTGTATTTTATCAAAGTAACGCAACAAACAATCAATTCAATATTGATTGAACTCAAATCAAGAACAACGCGTTCTTAATACGAAATTCGGATAAAACGGAAGCAACGCACAATTCCACACATGGGGAAAGCTTGTATGGTATAAAAATCTAGTTGCTCAACCACGATTGAAGAGAATATTCAATCGATACAAAGCTCATAAGTTTGGAATCCACCAAACTCAAACAAGTCGCAACTTGCACAAAACCAAAGGGTTTGTTTTTCGATTAATCAAAGTCTGTCCTTTACAACGAAAATAGAAGACTATTTATAGCCAAGAAAACCTAATACAAACCTAAATGAAAAAGGAAACAAATAAGGTAAACTTCTACTCTAAAAGGGACTCAAAATTCGGCCATAAACTCCTTTTCTTCAAGCACAAGTAAGCTGCCTTTTAGCACAAGCAAACTGTCAGAAAAACAGTTTTTGTACTAACTTCGTGCCGTTCGTTTGAGGCCTTCCCGAACTCCAATCTTTCATCCAATTCCTTCCCTTTGTATATAAACATACCTAGTTTCATATTGTGGAAGCCTATGGACTTGAATCAGATCCATACTCCTCGAATTAAGCTCCAAAGTAGGCTTCACAAAATAATTTCCAGACTTAACCATTTTCTGGCAGTTTTCCAGTTTTGAGGTAGCAACTTTGAGGCCTTGGAAAATCTATTCATATCCTCCACTCTTACGACTATAATCCACTCCAGTCCATATATATAAACCTTGCTTCTGTTTCTGTACCCACGTGACATATATGCATATATGTCCATTAGACATCTGGTTCATTCCGCCTAACCATTCACTTCCATATTCTGCACTACCATCGTCGTCCATGGAGCCATCGAGAAACTCCGTGTTCGACTGTCATTTACTATATCTAGCGTGGCTCTTGAATTTGAGGGATTGAGACTTACCAGCTAGGGGTGAATTGGAGTTGGCAGGGTGGGTTTCTTGTGAGGAGATGGAAGAAACCGCTGCTCTCTCTTCTTCCTTTATCGCATTGGCCAAACAACTCACCCGTTCCAAGAAATTGATGGCCCCTTTAATATAGACCTTTAATCTCAATTGAAGTCTCCATATCCCACGTTTCGTTACCACTTCCCTGGCCGCAATTCAGCTTCCAGTTCCTTCCATGGGAACGATTTCCCCTGCTTCATTATGGCCTAATAAGGTCAAAACATGGATGAACGTAAGTAATTAGGCCTTGTTCCTTAACCCGCTTTGGTTTGATTTTGAGTTTTTCATACATAACAGTTGATACCCCTGTTTATTTATTATGGTCGAACCTGAACCAAATGTCCGGGTTTCACAACTCGTTTTGTTGAACCACATATTTGTAAAAATACGAGGGTTTAGGATCACTTCTACGTGAGGAAATAACTTATGATCCCAATGTCGCGTCATTCCACAATTCATGGGACAAGGTGTGACCAATAAAGCTAGTGTTGACCAACTTTATTGGTAATAGATCTGAAAACAGAAGACGAGTTATCTCTCGCAAGTACTTTTCTTTAGTGTCTTTAAGTTAGACAAACCATGGCTTTCCTCCCAAGTAACGCCCTCTCTTTAATGCATTTGAGCTAGGCATCGCTAGTGCTTTTTTTCATTGATTATACCAATGAAGGTCAAGGGACCATTTCCCAAAGTGATCATTCGAGCATGGTGAATCGAGGGATGGATCTGATGCAAAGTTTGGAGTCATAGGTGAATCTTAAATATTGACGTAAAAATTAGATACCATCTCCTCAAACTCTTGCTTGCTATTCGGGGATAGCGAATTTCCCCCGTTGAATTTCCTAGCGTGGAATTCAAGCTCCTTTTCATTATCAATAGGAAGTGTCCAGTCGACACCTTCCCCATAGTCGGTCATAGGAGTTTCTGAGGAATCACAATCAGATTCTACGATGGTAAATCTTGATTGTATTCCTCCATGTCTTTCGGAGTAATCATCTGGATAATATGCTCTGGATTGTTGATTCTCATCATAACTTGATGTTTATGAACATTGATCAATGTGCCCGGAAGTGGCTAAGAAGGTTTTTCCAAAGAGGATAGAATAGTCTCTATCTTTATGCATGGAGAGTACTACGAAGTCGAGAGAAATTAAAGGATCCTATTTCCACCTTCAAAT